GTGAGAATTTTAACTTGTCTTTTCCTTTTGATAATAATCTAAAACAACTGGCATAAAAGCATTTTTTTGGCTCATCAGAGTGGCCCTTTATCACTGCATACCTCTCTGCCTACTTTCAGTGTCCATGTTTGTATTGAGGGCCACACTGGTGTTTGTGCAGTACTGGCATGGGCCAGTGAGAAAAGAATAAAGATGGACTCAATGGACAAGTGATAAGGCTGAACCTAGGAAGGGTCAATGATAATGCAGTACCTGAGCTTTCCATATAAATGAAATTTGGCAGTAGTTTGAATAAGGGGCTCTGTGCTGCATGACAAGTCCACTGTCCCACCACTTTAAGCCACTGCAAAACCTGCATTCTTGCAGTGTATACGAACTCTAAAGAGCCTGCACCTCAGTCACCAGGACCGTAATCCTACACAAATGGTGATTTCACTTTGGCAAAATGTCAACTATCACATCATCTGTTATGTAGAGGCAGCAAGCCATATGCTTAGGAGCTGAGACTCCAGATCCAATAGACCAAAGATGAGTCCCATTTCTACCCCTTACTGGCTCTGTGACTTTGAGCAGGTAACTGAACTTCTCTGTGCCTCATTTACTTCACCTGTAAGATGGGGATCATCATAGCAATATAAACCATCATAACCCCAGGAGGTTACAGTGAAAGTTAAATGAAACCCCTCAGAGCAGTGCCCAGTTTGCTACTACTAAATTGTGCAGTTAACATGAATGGTGTTGGTTTCTGTTTCCATGTATTTTGTAATTTTTAAATATATTAATTTGTTAATGTCAAAAGCCTAAGGAGTTTATCTAGTTTATGTTTATACATATTCACATGACATTATAATAAAAATAACCACATACTAAGGATCTAAAAGACCCTTGCTACCATGAGCTAACTGCTAGTCATCCTTCAGACTTGGTTAACCATTACTTCTTCCTTCTCTAGTATTGTGAGGCTGGGTTCCATGTCTTAGATATGTTTTTACATATCCAAATGGCACCCAGAAATTGCTCTGGCATCACACTTAGCATTCATGATTGTATTGCTTGTTTAAATCTTACCCCCAAGAGATTATAAATTCCTCAAGGGCAGGGACCTCGATAATCCCAGAACCTGGCATCATATATACTACTTAGGACCTCAACCAATATTTAATGAATGAGTGAATGTCAGAGCCAGTTATCTATAAACTACAATACCCCTAATTCTGCTGCAGTTGAGGCAGAAAAAGAAAGCATAATTGGTAACAGGATAGGCAAATTAAAATCCTAGAGACAAGTGCCCCAAACTAACAAAATGAAAGAAGATAAACCAGAGGGCTTGGACACCACATAAAGTTACATGAGCACTGAGTCAAATCATAGGAAATTGCTCTGACTTAAAGTTCAGAGAAGCAAAAAGAATAACAAAGAACATTCTAATCAAGGGCTGACATTTATTTTAGATTCAAATAAATCCTTAAGAAAGTAATAATGATAAAACTTGTCATATAGAGTTCTTTTTAAATACATTTGGCTACATTGCTTATGAATGAAGAGGGGTTCTTTTCATAAATGCTTTTTTTTTTTAACTTATTTATGAAAGGCCTATTTTTCTCCTCTTTAATAATCCTATAAGGAATCCAGAGAACAGTGATTTTCTGAGAGGCTTTTGGCAAATTTAATCTTCTCCAATTACTTTTCCCTTCATTTTGATATTTTGCTCTAGGGTGGTTTCCATTCTCCCACACACACAAACACACGAAGGCACTTACACGCACACATATAATCACTGCCATAAAAATCACTGTCACTGAAGGTAGCATGTCACATCCCCAGATACGTTGTGACAAAGAAAGCAGACATGGCTCTTTGAGGTTGAGACAATGTTTCTGTCATCTGTGTCCCTAGGATATAGCAGAGACAATGGAATAAAAGGATACTTGAACAACAATGTTATTTTTAAGGCACTTTTACTACATAGTCTGTGTTTCCATAAATTGAAAGCAACGTAATTATAAGGAAATAAACTTTAATCATATTGTATAAATGGTTTTTAGGAGAAAATTTTTAGTGACTATTGGATCCAGCTAATTTTTATTCCTAAAATGAATTCAAGTCTGGAAGAAAATCAGAAATTCATGATTATTTGGCTAAAATTCCCCAAGTAACCCAAAGCTGAAAAAAAAAAACCACTGAAAATATTAACACAATACAGGTAAAGTCAGTTGGTGCCTAAATATTTTTTCTTTTGCTGAATTAACACTGAGCATTTATTATCTCTAGCTTTGGGCATCCACGATCTGCCTGGGAACTCCAGAACCTGGTAAGAGCATCCTGAATCCTAGTGTAGAGCTCTTCCCACAAAACTGAAAGGCTTATTTTAACTTGCAACATCCAGATTCTCTTCTCTTCTGTAAAGAGATATCCCACTGCTAATACTATTTGTCAGCATTCCCCTCTTCTGTCATCCCTCAGCCTCATCTTTAGCCCAAGACCTCATCTTTTCTTCCCTGGACATTTGCAAGAGGCTGCCAAGTGTTTCCAGCCTGGACTGCCTCCAATATGTCTGGACTGCTATCAGAGAGATCTTTCTTACACACAAATGGAATCATTAGACACAACCTATTCTACACCCACTTAGAATTCTTTAACAGCTTCCGAATGACTCAGAATGGAATCTAATTCCTTGGCAGGACTTGCAAAGTCCTTTGAGATGTGGCTCTTCCAGCCTTTCCACCTCATTTCTTTCCACTCCACCTACCAAACATCCAATGTCACAGCTTTAGAAATGTGCTTTTAGCATGTTCACATGTTTATGTCTTTATAACGACTGTTGCCTCTTCTTGGGATAACCCTCCTTGCTTGCATTTCTCTTTCTACCCCATAATTCTGTCCATCTGGCAAACGTCTACATATCCTTTCTTTTTTTACAACATCATCTCTTCTGGGAGACCCAGAAAATTAGTGTCTCTCTCACTCTGTTCCCACAGCCTGGTCCAAACATCCATCTTAACAAGCTTGACGATACACAGTCATTTGTGCGTGTTCTTAACTCTACCACTAGACTGGGAGATATTTGGAACCCCCTTCAACTTAATGTTGAACTGATGACAATAAACCATTATAGCCTACCAATCTACCACAATGCTTCCCATAGCTCACTTTGAGTCCAGAACAACAGACCCTCTGTGAATCTGATTTCATGATCCCACTACATCTTTCCCAGACCATTTCAATTTTAGCTCATTCTCATACAAGACTTTCAATTGTGTTGCACAACATTGACAAATAAAATAGAATTCCTAAGATACACTGTCTTCACACTGTTTTTCTTCTAAAAATTCAGTTATTGTTACACACAGTCCCTGTGATCAAGGCTAAACTCTTTATTCAGGCATTGAAGGCCCTCTTTAGTTTAGTTCTACTACCTATTATAAATAATAAAATAATAGTTGACATATATTGATAGCTTACTACATGCCAGGCATTGTTCACAGAGCTTTTAACATGGGTTATCTTTTTAATAACCTTAGCAGATGTATTAACAGAACTCATACAGATCTTACCAGATATCAAAGAGCTTTACTAGTAACTAAGTCATTTAATCCTCATAATAAACCTACAGATAAATACTATTATTACTACAATTTTTCCAATGAGGCAATGGGCCCAAAGTCACACAGCTCATATGGGAAGCTGCTTGGATTGGTGGCAAGGGAGCACCCACCAAAGCCTGGGCTCCCAGCCATCACTGGGTCCTGCTCTTGGGTGACACACAGCATCATCACATTCTCTCCTGTCAGCCGAACTCTTCCCTGGTGTGGAGTCTGCCTGTTTTGTTCCTGCTTTCCTCTCTGTTTGGGATGGCTGCCACCCCCTGCAGTACTCAGATAATTCTCAGCCCCTAAAGCCTACCTAAAATTCACCTTCTCCTTAAAGCCTTTTCAGAAGACACTGGCCACTTTTGAACTCCCTCCTCCCTGTCTATATTGGGCAGCAGAGATTATCTACACCAAACATGTGCCACTTAAGTCCTGTTTCATTTAGAACTTTATGATATATAATCTTGCATGGTTCTTTGTCTTAAGTTAGTCTTGGGCCTTGAACAAAATTGTGAGCTCCTTAAAGATACCAACTAGGTAACTTAATCCTCTGAAATCTCCCATAGCACCCAGCATAGATGCTTTATGTATTTTTGTTGAATTGAAGTGCACAGTAAGGTCAGGTCCCCCCTTCACTACATAGCAAATTTCCTCAATTGTACTCTATAACCATATCATTAAAACTGAATGAGCACTCTGAAGAAGTTCTGAATTGGCCCAGTTATGTTACATGTTATGTTATGTTATGTTATGTTATGTTATGTTATGTTATTTACTTATTTGAGATGGAGTGTCGCTCTTGTTGCCTAGGCTAGAGTGCAATGGCACGATCTTGGCTCACTGCAACCTCTGCCTCCTGGGTTCAAGCGATTCTCCTGCTTCAGCCTCCCAAGGAGCTGGGATTACAGGCATGTGCTACCACGCCTGGCTAATTTTGTATTTTTAGTAGAGACAGGGTTTCTCCATGTTGGTCAGGCTGGTCTCGAACTCCCTACCTCAGCTAATCTGCCCACCTCGGCCTCCCAAAGTGCTGGGATTACAGGCATGAGCCACCGTGCCCGGCTGTTATGTTTTATTTTTCCTGTTTAATAATAAGCATTGGAAAGGACAGAGAATATTAGAAAGCAAAGTTAGGAATAAAGTTCAAGTTTCCTTAATTAAAACCACTGAAATAGACCTCATTTGAATGAAGTTAAAAAATAAAATTGGTTCTTCTTTGCCTCTGTTTTTAAAAGGCCTCTGCCATTAAAAGGCACTTTATTTATTTCAAATTTAATTTCTATTTAGTGTAATGGTACAGACCCACTTTCACCTGGATAAATGAGAACTATCTACTACTGCACAGAAGAATTTTTTTGGCAATATTCCCATTTGAGGCAATGATTCCACCATATTTTTGCGGTAACCTACTTGGCTGTGTCAGCTCCGCTGGTTATTAAGGTGTTAATCAAAAGCTCGTGACCGTATCTTGCAGCCACATGGAGAGGAGTGTTGCCGTCCTTATCCACACAGTCAATTTCACCTCCTGAAAGAGATATTTTAATACAGGATAATGAAAAGATTCAGGTTGATTCAGGTGTTACGCTTTCTGCTAGTCTCTCATGTCGACCAAATGTAGATTTCTTTCCTATTCCAGTTGTGCATCTTTGCTCTGAAGTACAAGAATGCTTTTTAAGGAGACAAATCACCATCTGAAGTATTAGTAGTAGTATATCTGTATAGACAGAAGTCTATTAGAAATACTTTTGAGAAATCTTTCCGTATTGTCATAGTTAAGGATTCAAAATCTCACAACTGAATACCTGCTCTGAATGAACAATGTATTCAAATCCCATAAAGTGTAATTCTGAAGACATGTTCAATTTTCATTTTCCCTGCTGAATTAAAGACATATATAAACCTCACACTAAAACATAAGAACCAAAGGGGATGGAGAGTTCAGGAAACGATTTCATGTAATTTGATGATCTAGCTTAAAATATGATGACTAAAATGAGTAAAAGCATAGACAATAAACTGAAAATGCCTAAATGTATAAACACTGTAATGATAAACATCTATACTTCTTTTAATAATATAGTATGGTTATTAGGTTTTATTTTGCCTTCTTTTGCCCCAGTTTTTATGTCACTAAATTTCTTTTTTTCTCTCCCTTTTTCGTGTGTATGTATATATACAATTGGTCTATTTATTCATTGATCTGAGGAACCATTTAAAAAGTTAGATATCATAACATTTTACCACTAAGAATGTTTTTCCTAAGAACAGACATTTTTTCATATAACCACAATTCCATCAATGTACCCAAGAAATTTAACACTGATAAAATAATTTTATGTAATATTAGTGCCTATTCCAACTTCTCAGGTTGTCCCCAAAATGTCCTTATAATAGTTATTTTGTTGTTTTAATCCAGCATCCAACCAAAAATTCTCATAGCACTTGGCTGTCATGTCTCTTTAGTTTCCATTACTCCAAAACAATCCTCCTGGCCATTTTTTTTTTTTTTTTTTAATTTTCTTGTGTCATTGATCTTATTGGAGGCCAAACCAGGAGCTGCGTCAGATGCTCTGCACTCTGCAGTTGTCTTTGGTTTCTTCATTATTAGATTCAGCCTAAACATTTTGGCAATAATGCCCAGAGCAGATGTGTGCTTCCTACTGTATTTTCTTTTTTTTTTTTTTTTGAGACGGAGTTTCTCTCTTGTTACCCAGGCTGCGGTGCAGTGGCACGATCTTGGCTCACCGCAACCTCCGCTTCCTGGGTTCAAGCAATTCTCCTGCCTCAGCCTCCTGAGTAGCTGGGACTACAGGCGCGTGCCACCACGCTCGGCTAATTTTTTTGTATGTTTAGTAGAGATGGGATTTCACCATGTTGACGAGGATGGTCTCGATATCTTGACCTCGTGATCCACCTGCCTCGGCCTCCCAAAGTGCTGGGATTATAGGCGTGAGCCACCGTGCCCAGCCCTCCCACTGCATTTTCTTAGCACATGCACAGTTATTCCATTCCCAAGTGATGCAAAGTTTGACTACTTGCAATGGGTACCAATTTTCAGCTTGGGAAAAGAAAGTGTTCTGAAAATGGATGGAGGTGATGATTGTACAACAGTGAGAATGTACCGGATACCACTTAACTGTACACTTAAAAATGGTTAAAACAGTAAATTTTATGTTATGTATATTTTAACACAGTTAAAAAAAAAAAGGGCTTGATTATGTGGTTAAGTTGGTGTCTGCCAGCACACTTACTACAAAAATGTCTTTTCCCCTTTGTAATTAACAGATAATTTCTGGGGTGATACTTTGAGACTGTGCAGATATCTGATTTCCCAACAGACTTTCCCACAATGATTTTTAGCATATGCAGGGAGTACTTTGTTCATAAAGATAAATTCAGGTAAAGATACCTGAATTCTTTACTGTATGCTTATATTATCGATATAAGTTCATTCGATTCTTTCAAATTTTTTTACTGGGTTTTATTTTATTTTAATAATATGTAAAACACATGTTTCAAAAGTCAAAATAATATTTTTTAAAAGCCTTACTCATTCTTATACCTTCCTCTTCATTCTCATACATACCCTATAGTAATCATTTTCATTAGTTTTAGTTTCTGCTTCTGTGCTGCTCTTTGCAAAAAAAAATTTCCCCCCCTACTTAAGAGTGTATCCTAGAACTCACTTCTAAAGATCGCTTCTTGGAGATCTTCCTCATTTTTGTACAGCTTAATTTTTTCCATTAAACAGACGTACTAGTTTAGTACACTCATCCCCTATATATAAGCATTTAGGTTATAAATGACATTTTGCTATTATCTGGAATGCTACAGTCAATAATCTCATACATATGTTGCTTCATATTTGTTAGATGTATCTTCAAGATAAATTTCCAGAATGGAGATTTTTAGGTCAAAGAAAAAATTAGTGTGTGGTTTTGTTAGATTTTGCCAGATTTCTCTGTGGACACTGTGTAATTTTGCACTTTAACCAGCACTGTATGGGAGGCACTTTTCCTTATAGCCTTGTCAAGCTTTTGAACATCTGCTATCTGATGGGTGAGAACTGGTATCTCTCTGCAGCTTTCATTTGCATTTCTCTTATTATGAGGGAAGTTGAACATCTTTTCATATGTTTAAGGACATCCACACAAACTTAGAAAAATGAACAAGTTATTTTCAATAACTCTTAAAATGAGTAAGCTCTATTTCGGAGATTACTCATTTATCAGCAATACATGTTACAAATATTTTTCCCACAGGTTTTGCTTTTTATTTTGGGTATTTTTTTCCCATCAAAAAAATTGGAGGAGGAGGGCAGGTAATGTATTAGTCTTTTACCATGTTTGAGTTTGTAGTTAGGGAGGCTTTCCCTATACCCTGGTAACAAATAAATTGACACATGTTTTCTATACTGGAAAGGTTTTCTTTTTCAGATTTAGATAACTGATCCATCTGGAGTTTATCTTGGTGATGGTGTTTGTTGACTGACTAAATAAATGTTCCCTGAATGCCTAAAAGACTAAAAATTCAAGGAAACAGCCTGAACAAATTTGTAGAGGCAGAAACTAAATTAGTGGTTTCCAGGGGCTGAGGAATGGGGAGTGATGGCTAATGGGTATGAGGTTTCTTTTTGGGGTGATATCTAAACCATATACACAAATCTATATATGCCAGGATAAGTAATATAAAACCCTGAGAAATATATGAATAGGTGTGATCAATCTAGAAAGATGTGATACATTTGTTTTAAATGCCTTATTTCTGATTATTTTCTTATTGTAGAAAATTTAGAAGATGCAGTAAAATAGAAAATGAAACAGAAATACAAAGAAGAAAATAGAAGTCATCTATAAATTCACTGATTATCCCAGATGGTCAGTACTAATATGCTGGAATATTTCCTTCCAGTTGTGTGTGTGTGTGTGCACATGTATGTAGAATTTTCCCATGGTTGGGTTCCTGATGTAGAAAGAGTTTTTTAATCCTACATTCTCCTTTAATGTTACATTATATTAATTTTTTTCATTAACTGTAAATGACTACATGAATATCAGTATCTAGAGAATTTATTTAGCAAGTCCTCAATTAATAGGCATTGAGGCCATACCCAAATCTTTGCTATTAAGAAAAACACAGGAATGAACATATTTAGAAATAGTCTTTACATTTCAGATGATTTCCTTTAGTAACTTTTTTTTTTTTTTTTTTTTTTTTTTTTTTATTTTTTTTTTTTTTTTTTTTTTTTTTTGAGATGAAGTCTCATTTTGTCGTCCAGGCTGGAGTGCAGTGATGCAATCTCAGCTCACTGCAACCTCTGCCTCCTGGGTTCAAACAATTCTCCTGCCTCAGCCTCCCGAGTAGCTGCGATTACAGGGACCTGCCACCACACCTGACTAATTTTTGTATTTTTAGTACAGACAGGGTTCTACCATGTTGGCAAGGCTGGTCTCCAACTCCTGACCTCAAGTGATCCACTGCCTCACCCTCTCAAAGTGCTGGGATTACAGGTGTGAGCCACCGTGCCCAGTCAGCAACATTTTTAAAAGTAGGGCTTCTGGCTAAAAGTATGGAGACCCCTGATACACACGGGCAAAAGGCTTTTGAGAAAGGCTGTACCCATTAGCATTCTGTTAGCAGTATACTCGAGCACTATGCCAAAAAGAAGCCATTGAGAGTCTTCTCAGACCTGGGGAAAGAGCATTACCTTCCAGGCCAGGATACTGTCTCTTGTAGTAAGACTGTCCATAAGGTCCTCATCAGATCTATGTGGTCCTTCATTCCAATGAATCCTACTATTGGTCATTATAACTAACAACTCCCTAAGATTTATTTTCAGCAAACAATGCTTTTTCTAGCCAGGAGTACTACAGGGCTAGAGTATACAAATATTTGCTACAAAGTGAAATGATTACCAAAAATATGTGCATTTTGTGAAGGGGACAATCGTTTCAAAAACTCCAGTTAGCACACACAGGATTTTAGATGTCTCCCTCACTCTCAAGACTTCTGTGTGTAGAATTCTGTTTGAAGATCAATTTGCTGCCAATAACTTTGCCCATTTGGGGGTTTGCAACTTAATAGCTGTTTACGAAAAGGGAATCTCTTTTTAACTGACTGGGACAGAGAAATATAAATGGCAACCTGAATATAATTACTGATCTTTCTTCAAGTCTTTGTTTCTGTGTCATAATGGGTTTTGTTGTTGTCGTTGTTTTGGGTTTTGTTTTGCTTTTTTTGTTGTTGTTGAGATGGATGATTTCCTTTAGTAACTTTTTTTTTTTTTTTTGAGATGAGGCCTCATTTTGTCACCCAGGCTGGGGTGCAGTGGCGCAATCTTGGCTCACTGCAACCTCTGCCTTCTGGGTTTCAGTGATTCTCCTGCCTCAGCCTCCCAAATAGCTGGGATTACAGGCACACACCATCATGCTCATTTAATTTTTGTATTTTTAGTGGAGATGGGGTTTCGCCATGTTGGCCAGGCTGGTCTTGAATTCTGACCTCAAGCAATCTGCTTGCCTCGGC